TAATTAGTTGTTTTTGCGACTAGTCATATGTGCGACGATTTTTCAATTGAACCCTATTGTAAAACTAATATAAATATATGCTATTTCAAGGTAATTTAACATTTATAAAATACTATATTGTCAAATATCTCAGAAACCAATACAAAATTACGGTTATAATACTAATTAAATATTTGTAAAATAATGTAGGGAACAACTTTTATTAATGCGTTAAATATCCTTAAAATTATAGCTTTCGAGATCGAGTGACATCTATAAATCCTGGTCAGCTCTTGAGTTTTAAAAATTATTGACCCTAACCCGATTCGAATCGAGTTACACGGATCAACCCAGGTCGTTAGGAGCACTTCGTTTTTGATAGAACTTTTGAAATATCAAATTTTCATGTGACAAAATAGTTATCTTTTTGATGCATCTATAAATAAATAATTAAAGGCTAATCAAAAAAATAACCACTTTTCCCAAGTATGACGAAATTACTTGAGTGACGAACTAATCGTCACATGAATGATGACACGCACGTGCTTTATCGTCATACCTAACCGGATATAGCCTAGACTAAACGGAAATAATATAATTATATTATTTCCGGTCAGTTGATCAATATTTCGACCTTCCATAACTTTAGGCTAGCAGACAAACGCTTGTTGTTTCTTCGCTTTGATTGCATCCTTGAGGCGACTCACTAACTTGCTCCTGTCAATATCGACAGCGAAAGCATTCGCGGGTGTACTTCCTTTAATTTCCTTTAATCTGTGATTTCAAACTTGAAAAAAAAAGAAACTCTGTTTTAGAGATATTGGTAATTTACAATTATTATCGTATTCTATCTTTTCTTTTTCTTTTTTTTTGTTAAAAAATATTAATCTATTACGATTTTTATTTAGAGGATTTCTAAATAAATATTTTTTAAATATTTTATATTATTTAAAAATCTTTAATACTAAGTAATACTAAGTAAAATCAATAATAAGAATTTTTTTTTTTTTAAAACTAATCTACCCCCGAATCTATTAACTATCCTATTTTGTTAATGATAATTACAGTTTTGTTGATTTTTAATCTAATAAACATTAGATTCATTTAATGTGTACAGGTTTACGTATACATAAAATTACTAATAATCCAGAATAATCTAGGATCACATAAATATCTATATAAATGCGGTTAATTTTACTGACTGAAAAAAAAAACCGATACACACGCACAATGTCCGAAGGCGCAAGTAAATGTTTTTTTTTTTAATTTTTTATTTCTTTAAAAGGAAATAACTAACTTAATCGGGAATTTATTTTTTGTGTTATTTTTTATTTATATTTATAATTATTTATTTATTATAGTTAATTTTCATGCTACCTTCAAAGGTACCGTAATCCCAGTAGAAAATTGGCCAATAGATTCCACTATTCAAAAGCTTAAAGAATATCTTGAAGAGAAAACACAAATACCGGTTGATTTTCAGAAATTGATTTATAAAGGTTTGTTAAATTAATTAATTAAAAAATAATAAATTATAATTATAATAATCACGAAAATTGTTTGTTTTTTTCTTTTTTCTTTTTTTTTTTTTTTAACTAGGAACACTTAAAAATGACACAACATTACGATCTAATAATTTTAAATCTGGTATCAAAGTAATGTTAATGGGAAGTTCTCAGCAAGATATTCAAAAAATAAAAGAATTTGATTCGAAAATAATACATCAACCTTTCGAATCAAAATCGGAATATTCCATAAATGTAGGTTAAATTCATTTTTTTTTATAAAAAAATTTTAATAATAATCTAAATAATAATTTTTATATAATTTATAGCCATATAAAAACGTAAAAAAAACCGAGGATTCATCATCTAGTAAATACACATTTCATAATATAAAAGTCATAGAACATTTTCCTAATTCGGATAAGGCACGAGAATTACTTATGAAATTACGTGATGATCGAGGGATTCGTGGAATAATGTTAAAACACCAATGGAGTGTTGGGATATTACAAGAATTATCACCAGCCGAACATACAATATTAGGGTATAATCAAAATGCTGGACAATTAATTTCCATAAGGTTAAGAACGGATGATATGGAAGGTTTTAGACTATATTCAACAATTCGAAGAACCTTATTACATGAGTTATCTCATAATGTATGGGGAGAACATGATGAAAATTTTCATCGTCTTAATAGACAACTGAATGAGGAAGTTGGTAAATATTTAATATTTACTTTCTTTAATGTGTTTTTTTTTAATATGTTGTAATTATATATTGGATATAATTTTTTTTTAATAACTTATCTTTCTTTTTTACTTTAATAGTTTCATTGGATTGGACTGCTTCAGGAGGAAATCAATTATCCAAAGAGAAATTTTATAATCCATCAGAAGAAATTGGAATTAATAATAATCAATCATTTGAAGGTGGAACTTTTACATTAGGTGGAGATCCAACACGAAAAAGAAATATGGAAATGCGTGAATTATTAGCAGAAGCAGCATTAATTCGTCTTACCAAAGAAGAAATCGAATTAGATGAGAAATGTGGTTCTGTCAAACGTAATAAATCATTAGAATAGAATTTTTAGTAAAATACAATCAAAAATATTTCATTCATTTATTATTTTATCCATTCATTCATTCATTTATGCATTTATTTATTTATTCATTTAAAATATTAATCAATAGTTGATCTATTTTATTTAATACACCATTATAGTAGTGAAATAGCTTAGTTATATAAATATAGATGTCATTAATAGGAAAAGTTATTATTAGATTTGGAATGAAAAATGAAAGATATCCGATATGTATTAGAAGCACAACCATCGTATATTCAAACTCAGGGTAGCCAAAGTGATAATAATTTTCCCGCTGTTATGTACAAATGCTTGATATAAATTTCTTGTTGAATTTCTTGATTGGTAAATAACTCGATGTTATTATTATTATTATTATTATTATTATTATTATATTAATTTTTAAGCAAGAATAAAATGTTCATTGTTCCAAAAAAGTCAAAGTCCAATATCTCGTGTTGTTATTATCTACGTAGTCGCTTCTTAAATCTCTCTGCAACAATATCATCAGTTGCCATTTCCCGACGTGATGATCCAGATTTATTGTGGTTGTGATTGTGATTATGATTTGAATTTTGATATTGTTGATCAGTGTTAGTTCTTTCATGATCACTGATAGTTGGGCGAGTTCGATAAACTAAATTAAAATATTTAAATGTTTATATATATTAAAAAAGAAGAAAATTGTATGATTTAATTAATTAATTAATTTAAATCTATTGATATAAAATGAACTTACATCTATTAGTCGCAGCGAAATTTGATCCTTCAAACTTTTCCGTCGATAGTTTTTTTTTTTTTTTAAAAAAAATGAATTTTAATTTTCTTCTGTGATTTTTTTTATGAAAAAAAGAGATTCCAAATTTTTTATACTTACTACATCTTTCTCTTCTTTAGGTTTAGTATGTCTCTGCTCTAATAATTTACGTTTCGCTATCTCTGTTTTTTCAATGTTTTTTAGTCGTACACTATTAAAAAAAATGGTAAATTTAAATTATCTTTATTTATTTATAATATAATATTATCAATATAAAAAAATTTAACATACTCTATTCCTAAATCAACCTCAGGTATAGCTGTAAGCATGGTAGTTGATAATTGTACATTTCCTTCAGAAATTGGTTTGCTTTCAATCTAAATGATTAAATAAATAGATCAATAAAAATATTATATATCAAGATTACATATATATAATATATATATTATTATTATCATTACTCTTAAATGTTCGGGAGCTTGAAATAATTCATCTTGAGGATTTAAGGGATTTGCTGGTTCTGCTTCTTCATTTTTATTATTTGTTGGTTGTCCTCTTCGTTTACGCATTTCTTCTTCAATATATGCCATCCTAAAAATTACATCACCAGAATCACCAGAATCACCAGATCAGAATCATGGTTTTGGTGACAACTCAAAAAGACTCAAACAATAATTACTCACATGTGTTTATCAACATCTAATGCATTTGTTTGTTTGGTAAATGAATCAAGCATAATCTTTTTTTCTCCAGCATTTTCTTCTTCGGAGTTGCTATTATATTATAATATATATATATATTTATATATATATATTAATATAATTATATTATTCAATAAATGATAAACTATATATATTATAGCCAAGTATTTGTGTTACTTCACACCTTTCCTCATCTTCTGTACTGTTCAAAACAACAATTCCTCCTGTAGTCAATTTCCACGGATCCTCATCCTTTTTCTTTTTTTTTGTCTTTGATTCTCCTTTTGAAAGTTTTTCTGCATCTATTCCTAGAGGTCTTCTTCGAAACTTTCGGAGTTCTATAATTTCTTCAAGTGCTTCACTGATGGAAGGAAGAAAAAACTTTGGTATTAGTCCAAAGTTACATTTATAAAAATTATAAGTATTCAAAAAAAAAAAAAACACTTGAAATATTTTTCATGAAATAGAGATCTAACCTCACGTCTTTCTCGTCACCATTCTTTGATATATCATCGTCGTCAGAAGATATAAGTTTTCTACGATAATTTCGTTTTTTGCTTGACATTTTTTTTTGTTAATTATAGTGTAGTTAAATTGAATTGTTCATGTGACACAGATGGATATATCCGAAATACCGATAAAATGAAATTTGGGGTTCTTAATTTAGAATGTAATTGATTGAATAGTAGTATTTATAGGAATTTTGATCCATTTAATTAATTTAAATATTTGATTAATTTTTTTTTTTTTTTAATAATAATAGAGTTTTCTTTTTTTCATCATGGTGCAAATTTATATGGATTTTAATAATTCTTCTTCACATGAAATGGGTAATGTTATAGACAATAGAATGGTGAACCACTCTATAGCTCCAAATTTAATTATAAAACCAAAGAAAGACTTTGCGCAAATATCTCGAGAAGTATATGAACTAGCAAATTCTGACAACCCAATTTCGAAATATGTAACCCGCTCACTTGAAGTTATTGAAAAATCGATAAATCTATATGGGTAGATATCACTTAATTGATTTTATTAATATTGTTCTATAATCATTATTTTTTTATTATTTGAAACAACTTTTTGAAATGACTTGAAAAATAATTTTGAAATAATTAAGGATCGATGGATTAGGTATTTCTTTCAACGGGGGAAAAGATTGTGTAGTATTGTTGTATTTGTTCACTGCTGTAATTTATAAACATTTTCGAAAATCCGAGAAGAAGCCAAAGATTCAAGCTGTTTATATAAGAACTCCTAATTCATTTGTTGAAGTTGAAGAATTTGTAAATGAATGCATTTTACGATATGAGTTAGACATTATAATAATAGAAGGTCCTATGAAACAAGCATTACAAAAATATCATGAATGTAGACCGAATGTTAAAGCAATATTAATCGGTACTCGCAGAATTGATCCACACGGAAGTATGTAGAAATTTATTTATTGATTTATTTATTTTTTTGTAAAAGAATTGTTTTAATTTTTAAATTTAAATTTAAATTTAAATTAAATTAAATTAATTTAATTTTAATTTAATTTAAATTTTCAAAATAAATTCAATATATATAAATTCAGAAAATTTATCAGAATTTATTCCCACTGATCCTGATTGGCCCCCTTTTATGCGTATACATCCAATTCTTGATTGGAATTACCCTCTTGTATGGAAATTTTTACTAACATTGAATGTACCGTATTGTATATTATATGATAAAGGGTGAGTTATTAATTTATTAAATTCTATTGATTAGACATTTATGATAAAATTATTTTAATTTAATATATTTAATATTTTTGATTTTTTTTTTTTTTTTAGGTATACATCTATTGGAAGTATAGATAATACATGTCCTAATCCTGATCTTCGTAATCCTGCACAATCTTGTGGATACGATCCAGCATGGAAATTGGTCGATGAGAATCGGGAAAGATGTGGGAGATAGAAGGAAAAAAAAAATTTTTTTTTTAGACTTTATTTTTTTAATACATTTAAGGGTGATGATGAATATTTATTTAAAAATAATAATAGTAATAATAATAATAATAATAATAATAATAATAATATTTATAATAATAATAATGATAATAATGATAATAATAATTATTATTATTTTTTAATTAATATAACAAGTAATACTAGATTCTAAATATTAATGCATTTAATATAAATCTGTAGTATTTTATTGATTCATTAGAAATGTCAATCACAAAGATATTTTCTTTTATTATTCATATTACAAGTAAATAAATTATAAAAAAAGAAATGAATTCACCTCATAAAGAAAAAGAAAAGTAAGACAAGTGAAAAAAAAAAGTTATAAATATAAAACATATATATCCCTCTCTCTCCCTATCTATCTACATATATAGATTATTGGTTATGCGGTTTTTTTTCCAGTTATAGCAGCTTCCAATCCTTCTTTTAAAGTTCCCTCAAATCTTTCTTGATCCATAACTCCATTAACATCAAACCAATAACCAAAAGATTTTGAAATCGAAAAATTCGAATTTCTAATACTAACTTTATTACCAGTTGTTTCTTTCCCAACGAATTCAAATGTGATATTATAAATATCCGAATATCGTTTACTATTGGTATGAATCGTGATTTTATAATTTATACTATCATCTTGTTTTTTCCCATCAAATATTATATCTTTTTCAATAAAAAAGGTATAAATGAATGATATTAAATTTAAAATAAGGTAACTATGAATTTTTACATTCCATTTATTATTGATTGTTATTATTGAGAGGGAGGGAGGGAGAAAGATATAGATATATAGATATATAGATATACAGATAATATACATAGAAAGAAAGAATTAAATAATTAATCACTTTAAGATTTTTATATATATTTATTTATTTAAATTTTATTACTTACACTATAACACACTGTATTACGACCATTTTAGAATCATTAAAAGGAGTAATATGTCCATAATATCCACCAAACATGGCAAACCCACAAGATAAATATCCAAGTATTAATTTTATATCTGCATGTGTATGTATTTGACTAAACTCTTCTTTGGTGGTAAAGTACTAAATAAAAAATGAATAAAAAAAAGTAATAATTAATGGTAAAATTAATTAATTCCTTCAATTCCTTAAATAATTTAATTAATTAAAATTAATGAACAACCTTTTGAATACCATCATCACAAGCGTTCTTTAAATCTGTTAAATTATAATTATTAATTTTGATCTCTTCTTCCTCTATTTCTTGTTCTTTCTCTTCTTTCTCTAAAAAAAATTAAAAATAATAATAAGTAAGAGAACTTTTTTAAAAAAAAATAAGATTAAATATTAAAATAATTACCGGTATCGTCAACTTCCTGGGCTTGATTGTTTTCTTCGGTTTCTTTAGTTGTCGACATTTTTTAACGTGAATTTTATTTTAAAAAGCGTGTTTTTTTTTTTACGTATTTTATATCGATTGGTTTTTACGAATCATGTGATAAATTCGAAGAGTACGAATCATGTGATAAATTCGAAGAGTACGAATCATGTGAAAAAAGTTTTATTTTTTTTTTTAAATATATTATTTATTATTATTTATTATTATTTATTAATTGTTTGTTCCTTCTAATATTTCTAATATTTCCAATATGTTGTATATATATATATTTGATTACGCATTATTTTTGAATAAAATAAAAAATATCATGATTTGATATTCTCTGATTATTTTACATTTCCAAAAAATGCCAAAGCATTAAAAACATTGTTTCCATTATTTCATATTTGAAGTCGTCGTCATGGTTCTAGACATACTTCGAGTAATTCTTCTATCAGGTGTTGTAAATGAACGGGGAGTTTTCGGTGAATCCGTATTCGTAGATCGTCCTTTACGTTTACTTCGAGGTGGTTCAGGGGTTTTGGGTGTACGTTCATTTTGTGGCGTTGAAAATGGTGAATGATTTGGTAAGGATGGAAGTTCTTTATTTGGTGATGTCTTTTTAGATTTCTCGGGTGTTATTGGTATTGTATCTCTTGTTGATGATGATGGTGGTGGTGGTGGTGGCGGTGGTGGTGTGAAAGGTGAATGACCTAATAATACTTGATGAGTGGTCATTTTTTCATTGATGGGTTCTAAAGATCTATTTGTCATTTCTTCATCCAATACTGTAACTTCTTCATTAATATTAACGTCAATCATTTCTGTAAAAGAAATTTTGATAAGTAATTATTTCTCTCCTTATAAAATAAATTCAAAAAAATTCAAATAAAAATAAAATAAATAAATAAAAATATATAAGGATATATAAAACTTACCTTCAACCATCACAACTGTATCTTTACTTGTAATTTCATCTACTTCCATAGAAATTTCTTTTTGTTGTGAGGGTGACAATTTTTCCATTAAACCAGCAAAATATTTATTACGAAGATGTGAATTTGCTATTTTACTTTCGGTACCTCCACCTTGTCGTTTTAATATCTCATTTAACTTTATGGATTCCACAATATCACCATGATGTAAAGTATAATAAATCCAAAAGATCTTGCATTCCACTAAATCATGACTTTCACAATATTTTTTAGTAAATTCTTCTTCATATTTATCCATATTTATATTAAGAAGTGAAGTTAATCTTTCGGCATTTGGATTTGGATAAAAGCAATAATCTAATAAATTTCTAAGTAATAGTAATTCTAATGGTTGACCTTCAATAGGTTGAGGACGACATTTCCGCTAGAAAAATAAAAATAAAATAAAATAAAATAAAATAAATAAATAAAAATAAATATAAATAAAAAATAAAAATAAATAAATAAAAATAAATAAATAAATAAAAATCAAGGATTTAATAAAAATATAAGAATTTTAGATTTTTAAAAGGGAATTTACTTGAAAGTCAAAGGCTTCGAGTATATCACATCGCATTAGAATTTCCATATGAATAACAAGATTTTCTGTTTTTTTAGGGTTATCAGATAAAATCTTATCAACTTGAGTAAGATTCGCATAAGTTAAAGCATCACGAGGACTTGAGTGATCCACTAAAACTTGCATAACTTTATGATCCCAATCAACGGAAACCGATGGTTCAGTTAAAAATCGAATTGCTTCAGCAAATAACCAATGATCTAATGCCCAATAACCATCCATTAAACATAAAAAATTTGGAGGTATAAGAAATCTTGCGGCATATCTCTGATGCCTATAATTTGCAGCCCCTTGCCAATCCTTTAAAAGATAATAAACCAAACAATGTTGCCTTAATCTATCAACCGCACTATTAAATATTTGATTAAATAATAATCTTAAACCTGCCATATTAATTGGAGGATAAAGTGATGGATCAACTTTTGCAAATTGAAGTAATAAATCAAATATTAATTCATTATTCATTTGACTACGTCGTTGTTGAATTGATCCAATAATTTGATTACCATAAATATTATATTTTTTGAAATCAGATTCAGTAAAGAATTCTTCAAACTCTGGTAATGGATCATAAAATTCTTCTCCTTCTTGTTGTTGACCTGATAAATCAAATGATACAATTTTATCGGGAAGTAAAATATCTACCTTGGTAAGTAATTTCGGTGCATCAATATCATATATTGATGAATGACCACAAAGTGAAACTATATTTTTCCAACAAATTGTATCAACTCTTTCAGCATCTTCTATTTTAAATAATGCTAATTCTGGACCATCATTAGCATCCCTTTCTAAATAAGTTGATTCCAATCCAATACATAAAATATGATTCATTTCATCAACGGAAGCTGACATTGAAATTATTCTACCATTACTAACATTAGATCCAGGTCGACCTTCATATCTTTGTTTAAATTCTTGACATAATAAATTATCATGTGTATAAGAAATACGAATGAATCTAATTAATGGTTTATAATCATTTCTAATTAAAAAATCATTATGATCTAATAATCGACCATGACCAATAAAAAAAAGTCCTTTATCACTATCCCTTTGAGGACGTGCAACGATATGTGTTACGGGTGCCATAGATTCTGGTACTTCTAAACTTTGAATAAATTGAAGTTTTCGATCAAAATCATAACTAAAAAATTCAACAAGACCTCGAACACCACCAGCAATCAAATATTGAGTTTCTTCGACAACATTATTTGATTTATATAAACAAACTGAAGAAACCGGTTCTTTAGTTGCTAAATGTTGATAACATTCATCAACTAATTTAAAATATGGTGCTTGAGGTGTAGGTGCTAATAATCTATATAAAGAAATTCCAATCGATGTTCCAAGAACCAAAAAAAATGAATTAGGTAACTCGAATCCTGCCTCTGAAAATTTTCTATTCTCGTTCATCTATTTTATATATATATTATATATATATATATAATTTTTTTTTTTTTTTTTGAATAATATAAAAAAAGAACTATGAATAGTGTGAATAATATTATAATATTTCTTCATTTTGAAATAATTATTATAAATTACTTACTGTATGAACTATTTGTTCTGAAAGCATAACATCGTAAATTACTGTATGTCCAATTTTCTTAAGATTTACTGGTAGAGTATAAGATTTATTTTCGTATATATCATACAAAATAAATCTATAATCGTTATTTGTATCTCGAGTACATAATAATAGACAGGCATTATCTATATAACAATCTGTAACCTTTACGATCTCTTTGATGAGGTAATCATTTCTCGTTTTAATTTCACGATTGTATTTTCTTATGTCAAAAATCGAAAATACTTCAAAGTCAATCTTATCCAGAATTTTTACAACTTTTCGATTATATGTATAAGCAAATTCTGAATTTTCTGATCTAGAGTGTTGTGTTGCGAAAGCTCCAGCAATGGAAGGGATTTCAGTCGATGTAGAAGAATCTATTGGAATCCTAGGTAAAGTGTCTTGAGCTGGTCTTCTTATAAAATTTCGTAAAGTCACAAGGAACTCCATGTCAGAAAGAAATGATGTCCTATAGAAAACGCGACTCTATTTATTCAAATAACCAAACAAATTCTTACATCACGTGATTCGCATGTCTTTTTTTTTTTTTTGTGTTCAGATTATCTTGTGACGCGCGATTTTTAAGTAAATCCGAGCAATATAATTATTTAAATTCATTGATTCCACATCCGTCAACAAAGGAAAATTCGTTTCTCCAATGCTTATCTTATCTTTCCAATTTACAATCGTAATGACGTATAATGTAACCCACCTTCCAGAACCAGCAATTCTTGAATGATTAAATTGTTCTCCGCATATTCCTTAAATTACCATTTTTAGAAGAATATGATTATTGTTTTTCAAGTATAAAATGACTTGTTAAAATACTTTACTTTTCTCAAAAAATGATATCTAAACTTTTTGCTGGGAAACAAATACATTCCACAAGAAATGTTGCATTTTATGCTCTACCACGAATCACACCATATAAAATTTCATTAGTATCCCTTGATTGGATACGTAAGAAAGACCCACCTATTGCATTGGGACATGCGTGTATCAAAGCATCGTTAATCCAGTCTTTCACTTCATCCAAACTTTTGGTAAACGACCATACAATAAATCTTTTTCAAAACACGCTTCCCTTCGATAAATTATGTTCATCAATAGTCCAACAAATTCTGTCAACTTCTCCTGACTTAATTGCGTTCGGTGTGTTTGTGTGGAACGAAACGCACACTCAACGAGTATTAAACCACTTACGCAATGAACATAAATATCAAGGATTGTTACTCTGTGGTGGTCCACAAATCAGCTATGCACCAAAAAGAACTTTGGAACAACATTATCCACAAGTGGATTATTTTGTTCGTGGGTATGCAGAAAATGCAATGGTGGATTTCGTTCAATGTAAAATTGAACAAAAGGATCGAAAAGATCAATTGTCAACGTTAAATATGATTCAAGGGTTACACATTGCAAATACCCCAGATCGTGGGACACAAGCAAGTGTGGATCTTGATTCGTCGGAATCACCATTCCAAACTTCTCCACCACTCATAAATGTTTCATCCCAACAATTTATAAGATGGGAAAGTCAACGTGGATGTCCATTTCGTTGTTCTTTTTGTGCGCATAAAGATGCTGCAGCAGGTCGAATTCCGGTAGGATCACTTCGTGTTAAACGAGACCTAAACCTAATTACAAACAAACATTCCATAGTTAATGATATCACAATCTTGGATCCAACATTTAACTCTGGAAAGAGTTACTTATCTGTACTAGATCATTTTATTGAAACTTCGTTTAAAGGGAAAATCGCCTTACAAACGAGGTTCGAAATGGTTAACAAAGAATTTCTTGAAATATGTGAAATTTTAAAAGATGTGGTGATATTAGAATTCGGTATTCAAACCGCCATTCGTGCGGAACAACTGGAGATAGAACGATTTAATAATTTAAAACGAATCACCGAAATTGCAAAAGAGCTGACAAGGCGTGGAATCATGTTTGAGGTTTCATTAATTTATGGTTTACCAAATCAAACAGTTGAAAGTTTTCGAGTTAGTATAGACTTTGCGAAAATGTTGGGTGCGAATAAAATTTATGCTTGGCCATTGATGTTATTGAGGGGAACAGGATTAGAGAGACGAAAAATTGATTTGGGATTAAGAGAAGAGATTTTAATTCCTGGAGAACTTACAGAAATTGCCAAAGAAAGATTGAGCGAAGGAATACCTCATGTTACATCGTCACCTTCTTTTACTAAAGATAAATGGTTAGAGATGAGTGCCATCGCTGAAGCTCTTTAAAAGAATTATTATGAATTCATAATTGACATCTAAGAATGATTAATAAAAAATTCGATTATCTTTATAAGAATTTTTCAACCAATATTCCTCTATTTTTCGATCGAAATGCCGTTGAATCTTAAACATAATTCATGGGTATCTGTAGCTTTCAATCGATAGTAGGAACAGCGGCGCAAATCTGCTAGTAAACAAATTATGTATCTTCTAAACATAATGGTCATGTTACATCAAAGTGATTCGTGCGAACTGCCCTTATGCGAATCCCCGATTTTTGATATTACCAAAGATATATTCGTCCTATACAACTTCTCTCAGTCGATGTTCGAAGTAGAATAGCGCATAAGAGAGATATGTATTGACAAATTTTCAAGACAATTCGCTATATCATTTATCATTTAATTTATTTTGAATTAAAAATTAAAAAAGTTGTTAATCAAACCAAAACCAATTATTGTAATATATCCTTTATAATAATAAAGTTATTTCATTATTTTAAAATATTTCTTGGCACCAGTTTCGCTACTTTCAAAAGATAGTACCCGGGTTACACGACGAGGACGTCGAAAATTTTTTGCTTAAATAAAAATGGTTATCAGTTATCGCAAAAAAATTTTTGATCAGTTTTTATGTAATCTTATTAATTATCACCCCCCCACTTTCCTAAGTAAAATTGTATGCTCCTGTACCCGCGATTTTTCTAAAATTTTTACCCACACAAAAATAATGCCAAAAAATTTATGTCCATCGCAACTAAATCGAACACATTGAAAAATGAATATGGATTGTAAAATGCCATATCAAAGTTAGCTCTGATGTGTAGTGTGTAATAACCTCTGCTGTAATAGTAATTGTTGATTTCCATACTGAAAGATAAAAAAAATTTTTGCTTTTCTTTTTTTTTTTGTTGTAAATTGTTAATTATTATATGTAGCTATCACTAAGTAAAGTTCTAATTTTTATTAGAAAATATTAAATACAATATTAATAAAAGTTGTAGTCTATATTATGAGCTACAAATTCAATTTTGAGGGGATTATTTTTTTAAAAAAAAATTAAATTATTCATTGTGTTATAATTGGCGTTTTAAATTACCAATCATATATAAACCTTTATTTTATACTAATGAAATGTCAAAAGGGGTCTTAAGTAAACTCAATTATTTAGCTATTTGATCTGGAATTTGCGATTTTTTTTTAGGTTCTAATACATTTTTGATTTTCTTTATAATTGGGTTTATTTTCGCATTCTCAGTCTCAAGCACAAAAATTGTAATTTTAATACGCTCAAAAAGAATTGGATATCGCAAACCACTTTTTAATTTTGCTATATCGACCTTATTTTTGGTATATTCTTCTCTGAGTTCTGCATTCTTGGCCTTAAGCTCTACATATTTTGTATTCTCATCTGTAAAGTTCTGCATTCTCAACTTCAAGTTTGGTTAGTTCAACTTTAAGTTCTGCTTCCTTGGACTTTTCTTCTAATAAATTTAACTTTTATTGAGAATATAGATTTTTTCATGAATTTCTTGTAACAATTATATTTCAAATTCATTTCTCTAAAAACGCCTAATTTAATCTCTAAAAACGGACAATAAATTTATTTCTGGAAAACTATCATAAAATAATAATAAATAAAAAACAAATATGTGTTAATTTTCCATGCAAAAAGTATTATAAATTGTTAACAAACAAAACAAAAAACATATTAAATAAAACTAATAATAGAATTTACTTTCACAGTTATAAATAATGATTGAAGTTTTCAAGATCAAATTTATCAATAATAAAGATTGAATTTATTGATAAGATTCCAAAAATAATAATAAAATATTTGATAAATTGCTAATAAAATGTGAATAAATTTTTATATATATTTAATTATTATTGAAAACAAAAAAAAAAAAATTAAGATTTGGGCACTATACAATAGAATATTCAATCAAATCATACGATTGATAAAATTGCGATAGATAAATTGCGAAAGATAAATTAATGCCGATACACAGATTCCCGAAAGGTCATGGTCAGAGCAATCTATAAAAATTGGTCGAGATAAACTACACGGAAGACTTAAGGATAATACCCATGTTTTTTCTACACAAAGAGAAGGGAAAATTAATGAAGTAGCCCCACCCAGTGAAACTAATTATGCAAGGCATACGATAATGCAAAATCCTGAAGAGTGACAAAAAATACTTTCCAGTGGAGATTATCATCCATATAATGAATTAATTTGTAAGTATACTAATTCTGGCAATAATGCGCCCTCTTATGTGCCATGGCGTCATGTTATAGGGGGCACTGAATTGCCTGTACAAAAATATGGCAAGATGCCCAATTCGTATACTACTCCTTTGAAAGATAGGAATATTATGAATCACGAAAGATGAATTGAGTATAATTTAAACTTTCACTTTGCAGATTTTTACTTCGAATCATAAAATGAAATTTTTAACAAAAGATAATTTTGAATTTATTACAATACAACTTGGAGATATTTTAGTCAAATATTTTTAGTAAAGATGATTTAATCAGAATTTCTGATTTGTAGCAAGACATTAGTTCAAAAAATTTATTTTTATATTTTGATTCATTGATCTTTTTATGTCTTTTAACATCTTTTACGCTATTTATTATAATTATTGCTGTTATCGTTGTTATCGAAATATTTAATTTCTTGATCCAAATCAAATTAAATCAAAGAATTTCCTACACATAAAAGAATGTAGTATATTAAATGTTTTTTTGCAAAGATTAAAACTTTAAATGATTCATTATATACTATAGTCACGATAATTACCTAATAAGACTATTAATAAGCAGGGAAGCGTGATCAGAGCTGTGATATATCTGTGTAATAAAGTTTGTATCTTTACAAAGTCTATCAAGATTTGAGTCTATCGTTAATGATTTTAATATATGTATACGTATACCCAAACTTAGTCACTAAAATTTTCTTATTTTATTATGGCTAATTTGACCCATACTCTTCTCTCCCGCCCATTGCGCCTATCAATCTCTCAAAATTCTGCAAAACTTCGCAGAATATCAACTCTCCCACAAAACTCACCTTTGGAACAAAAAATCACTTACAGCCTAAAAGAATTTCTTCTCGAGTACGAGAAACGTTCAAAAGTAAATCAGGAAAATATGGAGAAGTCTTTAAAAGAAAATCAGGAAAGTATGAAGGAGAATATAAAGGTATATGTTTTTTCTATAAATCCAAACAAATTTTGATAAATAATTAACAAATTTTGTATTTATAAAGAACATTGTTGAACAACGAGTTTCAAGTGCTGAAAATAAATTCCTATACCTCATGATTATAGTCATGACCGCAGGCTTGACAAAAGTGTGGTACGATCAATATCAACATACGAAGTGAATATTGTATGTATTACCAAGTATATATAGTGACATCTCTCGAAAAATCTGTATGGAGTTACGAATTTAATTTTTCCTATATTCATTTTATTTTTTTCTACGAATTAATCTTTGCTAAAAAATATTTTAATAAGTTTTCGCCCATATCGGGCTTTCAGTTTTTTAACATTTATAAATGTATTTGCGATGTAGTGTGGGGGCAATTGTATAACAACGAAGCTTTGCAGAAAATTGAGATTTTATAATACAAATATAAATTTGATACTAGATAAATAATTTGATTTTTATATATTAATAAAGGTAATATTGATAACTTATTTCGTATACATAATTGTGTTTGTATATTTTATGAATTTATTTTATTGTATTGAACAAATCTATAACATATAAAACATATCATCAATCATGCAATTCGGGAAATTCAAAGAATTAAGGATTATATAAGTAATCAAGCTACTATGGGTTATTACATATATTTATTATATCAATACATTTTTACTTTTAAATTCTTTATCGAAATTGTAATTAGTAAATCAGTTTGGCTTCCATTAACGACAGGTATTAAAAATGTATAACATCTAAGAACTTTAATGGGTTTCTGGTTCATATGCATAGGCCATTTGATCCGTACCATTCCCACAAGGACATTATTTCCGGTCTTTTAGTACAACTTATTTGCGCACACGTTTTATATATATAGTCAATTAAAACACAGGATGTTAACTTGCTAGTTGAATTTTGATTTATTGTTTGATAAGATCTAATACTAGAATTTCGGGTGAATCAAAATTCAATCTATTTCATCATCTTTATAAAATTTAATTCACGCAAATCTCCTCAATTACATTTATTATCGTAATTTATATCTCATTATTGTTATTTTCATAAAAAAACTATTTGTTCATTTAAATTCAAAAATTCAAAGATTTTCCATTTTGTTAATGAATAATATTTATTACCGAAATTCCTTTTTATTTGACAAGGATTCTTTATATAGAAAAAGTAGTTTGAAACGAAAATAATACGAATAAAATATATTTTTATAATTTATTCAATATTTTAATTATTGGTTACTCGGCTATTACAAAAAAAAAAAAACGTGAATTTTACTATGAAAAAAAATTTTCTATGTAATCTCACTTTATTATAAAAAATAATATTTTTAGACAATATTCAAAATAAGCGGAATTCATTATTCTGTCATAAAGGCATACATTGTTTCAAAAATTTATTTGGCTGGCCATAATAACAATCAGATAGTAGTGTAGGAACAGGGACAAAGAGGGTTGAAAATGTTTATTTCATTATTTACAAAATAAAGCATCCATCACACAATTCGTTACATTAAAGTTTGACATTTGTAATTCAATATATGATCTATTGATCTTCAGTACTTTGTTTCACTTTTTTTGTGTCAGTTTTCTCGTCATCCACCGAAAAATATTTTGCAGTTGTCTCGTGATATTGATTGAAATGATCGTTGATACAATAATACACTAAATATAATAAAATTAAAAAACTATACCTTCACTATTTCTAATCTTTTTTTGTTATCATTTGTTTAGTTTCAGTTTTTGTAAATTGTCTAACAAATTTTCGTGATTTTTGTTGATCCTGGGATGTACCAAGATCGAGGACACTTTAGTAACAATAGTAACCAGGAACACGTCCGATGCTTCATGCAACTTTAACTAAACAGGAATACGTCCTATTCTTTATGCACTCACTCAACATTGAGACAGCTCTCATACAGACAGTACGGATATTATCTCTACTAAAGTGCAACAGACACGAAAATCGCCAGAAAAGCCAAACATTACGTCCATGGATAATTCGTTATCAAAGGTATCACCTCTTCAACAAGCACAACTTGGCATAGATAATCGGTCTTCAGGTTACTTAAGGTTACTAAGTAAATAACTTACCTTCAGTTGTCCTTCCAAATGAATAAGACGTAGCTGTGCGGGATGATTGTGTTTAAATAATTTCTGTAAGGCTCTGATCTCCATTTTGAACGAATTATGAATTTGATCTTTATTAACGCCATGTAAGTATTCCGAAAATTCGCGGAGATTCGGCCAATCATTGTAAGGCTTGTCCCAAAGTTCTGTACGAATATGGAAGTAAAGCAAATAAAGAAATATTATAGTAATAAATTATATATTTGCAAATCTTATTGTAATAGCGAAGAAATTGAGGCGTTTTCGGGTAAGCGTGTGTCATCCTGAATTCTTTTAGAAAATGGTTCGTTAACTACTCGATCCATGACAACTTCGACATCTTGAGATGATTGCTGGACAGTTTGTGACGGAGTTGGAGAAAATGTTGATTGGTTGTTAATTATTGAATCTGCAACAACTTCATCTTGAGAAGGCGATGATTGCTGGACTGTTTATGTTGGAATGTTCAATATTATTAATAAAATATGACAGTAAATAAACGATCATCAAAAATTAACCTACTGGTGGAAATAGGTTACTTTACCATGCTTTAGAAGTTCTTTCAAATAATCAAGTATCTCTTCGTCGTCCTCACATGTAGGAATAATTTTTTCCACTTCAGCTCTTACGGGAGGCTTTGTGGTGAAGAGGACGCGTAGAGATTTTTTATCCTCCCTTTTTTAAATTAAGAACAGCATTTTTGGTATAGACGGAAGATATTACGCTTCGTACACGTCTCGGTTCAGATCGATTGTATCACATGGACTTAAAATTATTGGCTACACCACTCCACAAAGGTTTATTTGACCCGAACTCTCTCAATTAGTATCAACAATTCCAGGAAAGAAATATATCTCTCCCCTTTATTAGAAACTCTCATGTTTTATATAACAATACATTATATAATGATATAATAATGATAAAATAACAGTCAGTGGATATGTCTGATCAAATTTAATTTCATAGTATAAAATTATATTGAGATATTATGAAATGACATAATGAATAAAGTTAGAAATTATAGAATTCTTAACAAGGATACATTTGTTTTTTTATTTGTTAATATAATATAATGATAAAAATCAAAATGGATTGATAAATAAAAATTCCATTCTAAATAACCTTTACTACGTTGGACTATAGAAAGGCATGAATTATGTCAAACTTAAATCATGTATTTTATGCAAAATTGAAACATTTGTCAAGTTAACTTAGATAACACGTATAGCAGTAAAACTTACTATTATAATTACAACTATACGTAATAAAAATGTTCACTATGTATTACAAAGTAATATAATTTTGATCAATGTAATTCATAAATTATGACCTAAACTCCCAAGTTTAAAAAAAATTCATGACCCAGATCACCCGAATTGATCTAATCCATTAGGAGCATAGATGAATATTATATTGTAAAATCACCAAGAAATGTAATTTAAAGATTCTTTCTTTCCTGAAATTCCTAAACTTAATCTTTATTTGAAATCAAATTAACGATATGCAAAAAAAGTATGTAAAGTTATTTTTTAATTATTGATAATATTAAAAATGTAAGATTGTTACTAGATAAAATCTTCTGTTATCCAACTATATTAATGCAAGTATTGTATCTGTTAATAATTGTAATTATTTATTTAAGATTTGGATCATTTTTTTAAAATAAGTTAACAATCAAAATTATCTAATTTAAATTTTATATATAAATAGATATAGACATATAAATAAAATATATCTATACTGAACTTTATTATCAATTAATTATCTAATCAGAATCATCATCATCATCTTTTAAAGTATTAATTTTTTGATGAGCATTAACAGCATCAGCCAAATTTACTGTTGTTGTTAAAGTAGTAACATTTTTTTCATCATCACTGTCATCTGGATTGATTGTTATTGATACTGATTCATTTTGAAGCCTTATTCCTATTATTATATTATTATCATCATTAATAATATTGTTATTATATATATATATATAATTAAATCATTAAATATAGATATAATTGAAAATGTATAAAATAGATAAAATAAAATAAAAACAAATTGAAAAAATAAAACTTGCTTATTAATTTTGAAATACTGTCTTGTGTCCTTTTATTAAGTTTCTCTAATTTCTTTTCCACATCACGTTTAAGATCCCAATTAGGATTCTTGGGTGCTAAATTAAATAAATCCTAAAAAAAAAATGAGAACAATAGATTTAATACACAAATCTATAAATATATAGATATACATAAATATATAAATATAGACTTACCACTTCTTCCGCTCGTTTAGCTTCATCAGCAGCTTCAACTTCTTTAGTTAATTTATTTGCTTGTTTTTCTAATGTTTCGCCTAAATCATCAGGAGTTGCTATATGAATTTTTTCTGTAGCTTTTATTATTTCTTCATTTATTGGTGTATAATTTCGAAATTTTAATTTTCTTAAATAAATTAATTAATAATAAAATTAATATATTTTCACATAACGATAAATTTAGCATTAATAATACTCACTTTTCAGTATTATCATTATTATTCTCGTCCGTTGTTGTCGTCGTATTTGTGCTCTCTGAATCTAACTTTCGTTTTCGTAAGGCTTCTAAACGTTCTTTACGTTGTTTTGATGCTGCTTCCATTCTTTATTTTGCTTTTTATCTTTTTGCTTTTTATACTTTTTTTATTTTATTTTTACTATTATCAATTATTCTTCAAGGTTAATTAACTTACCTGTCGCGTGTGATTTTGAATTCACTGTCAATTTACCCATAGAAATTTTCACCCCCCACATGATATTTTGATTTTTTTGAATTTGATTGGTCCATAATTCGGCGGGTGATCAGAAATTTTTCACGTGTTGCTTTTACAGGATGATGAATATTCGGTGACGAATATGTTTTCCGTAAGTAAAAAATTCCAAGTCCCCAGAATATTTAATGAAAATTGATATTCGAAGGGCGTGACACACATTGATAAATAACCCTAACCCATGAATTTAGCACGTGAGGGTGAAATTTCTATGGCGATACTGGGTAGTCAGTGAAAACATGTGACTTTGCGAAGATCAAATAAATAATCATTATAATAAATTATTATTAGGGACAAATTACTGTATAAAAACAATAAAATTATATTTTGATTCACATAATAATGATGTTCAGAGTTAAGGAAAGAAAAAATTATACATCAAATTTTCTTTGTGAATAAAAATAAAAAGAATAAAAAACATCAGATATATGAAAAAAAAAATCATATATAATTAACTATTTCCATTTACTTTCTTTGAATTATTAGGAAGATGATGATCTCTATTATCAATATTGTTATTATAATCAATATTATTATTATTACCAATAATAATATTATTATTCCGTTGATTGGAATGATAAGGGAAGGGATAATTATTATTTTGTGGTTTAAAATTATTATGTAATCCGATAGTTTCAGGAGAATGTAAATTATCAGCAAATGAAGATAATTTGGCCAAATCATTACGAGTATTTTCTAATTTATCTAAATATTCTTGAGTTATTCCACTCGTAACATAACATCCATTAAATACTGAACAATCAAATTTTGATATATTGGAATTGAATTTACGGCAAGAAGATATTAAGTCTTCTAATTCCTATTAAATAAATATTAATATTAACATTGAATTATTAATAAATAATATAATATAATTAATAAATAATATAATATAAATAATAAATAATTAATATAATCATTTAATTCATTACCTGATATATTACCATATCAGCACCAATTTCTTTAGCAATTGAATCAACATCACGATCATAAGCTACAAGTTCTCTACGTGATGGCATATCAATACCATAAACATTAGGAAATCTAGTAATTAATAATAGAATTAATATATAATTAATAATTAATAATAATGAATAATCATAATAATAATATTATTATTACCTTATTGGAGGTGCACATGAAGCAAAATATACTTTCTTTGCACCAGCATCTCGTGCCATTTGAACTATTTCTTTAGATGTAGTTCCTCTTACAATTGAATCTATAATAATAAATAATAACAATATAAAATAAATAATAAATATAATATATAATAAATATAATAACAATTTAAAATAATAAATATAATTTATAATATATATACCATCAACTATTAATACATTCTTATTGGAAAATTCCAAAGCCATTGCATTTAATTTTCTTCTAACATTTTTCCTACGTATTTGTTGTCCCGACATAATGAAAGTACGTCCTACATAACGATTCTTAATAAATCCTTCACGATATGCAATTTTTAATTTATGTGATACTTGAAGTGCTGCTACACGACTTGTATCCGGAACCTTAATATGATAATGAATATAATAGATATAATTGATATAAATAGATACAATATATATGTTGTGCCTCAGATGTCAGATGTCAACTGACCAGAGTTAGGATTAGGGTTGGCTGAAGTTTTAAAGATCTACATAAGATCTACATAGGTCAGTTCTATAATTCTGGTCAAAGGGTGACGCCTGAGGCACCTCAGTTGACACCTGAGTCAAAGATGACATCTCAGTTGCAACATATATAAACGATTATAAATACACATAATATATATAAGGTATATACCGGAATAACCACGTCAATATCTAAATTCTCACCACATTTTTTAATAACTTGATCAGCTAAATATTCACCCATTTCTAATCTTGATCGATATACTGAAATTCCATCAATAACCGAATCAGGACGAGCAAAGTAAACAAATTCAAATATACAAGGTGCAATTTTTTCTGGACTTATTAATTGTCGTTTCGTTATGGCTGTTTTCGTAATTATTACTGCTTCTCCTGTGTGATTTTATCATTGTAATTTTGGATTTCGTGATTGCGTAATTGTGTGATTGTGATTAAATAAATAAATAAATGAATATCTATTAATATTTGTATTATTATTATATGTGTGACGAAAAAAAAATATAATTATATTTACCAGGATTAATATCTTTAACATCGGTAAATCCCGCATGATCCAAAACCACACTCTCAGAAGCAAACATATAATCAATACCCGCCACACCTTGTCTGGTACCATAACATATTGGTCTAATTCCATGTAAATCACGAAATCCAATAATACCAAAACCCGCGATCATAGCTACACAAGCGTATGCTCCTATACATTGTTCATAAATTCCTCTTATTGCTGTAAAAATATCTTGTTCGTTAATTCTATTTTATTATTATTATATATATATATTATTATTATTATTATTATTGTTATTATTATAAATATATTATGATGATGATTATAATTATTATTAATGGGTGTGTTCGCACACAGGAATTTGGATCGGATTGGGTTAATCCAGAATCAATCCGGATTGATATCTGTTCATCAAAACCCAATTGTTAATAATGTTAATTTTATCCTGTTCAAAAAAATATATGAGATGTGAATTTTGTCCAATCCACCTCAACAGGTAGATTGGAATTCTATTATAAATGATCCAATCCAGATTAAATTTTGGAATCTCAATCTAAATCCAATTCAATCCAATCCAATCTAATCCAATTCAATCTAATTCAATCCAATTTAATTAAATCAATCTAAATCCAATCCGAATGTGAACACACCCAATATATTACGATTATGATGATTAATATTTTTACCTAGCTTTATTGGTTTTCTGCAAATTATTTGCAAATATATTTAGAAGTAATTCCGAATCTGAATCCGTATTTATATGACGATGAACAGTGAAATCTAAGAAATTCTTTAATTCATCGGCATTGATAAGATTTCCATTCTATTAAATAATATAATTAATAATATAATTGATAAATTAATTGATAATATAATTAAATAATATAATTGATAAGTAGTAATCAATAAAATAAATGTCTTACATGAGCAAATACAATGCCATAAGGACTATTCACATAAAATGGTTGTGCTTCGGAATGGGATGACGAACCCGCTGTTGGATAACGAACTATTAATTAAAAAAAAATATATTATAATTATTATTGTAATCACAATATTCGTGTGATACATCATTAATAATATTATTCATCACTTATACAACCATCTTTTTATATTAACTACTATACATTATTCCCTCACTCTCCTTATCACATTATATCACATTCACTTATCCCCCAAGAAATTAAATTTTATTAATTTTTTCTCCTACCATGACCAATGCCGAGATTTCCGACTAAATTTTGTAGATGTTCTTGATTAAAGACGTCTCTTACCATTCCATTTCCTTTGCATTGATAAAGACGTCCTTTTTGACCACAAGTAACTATTCCTGCTGCATCCTATAATATCCAAAATAAAATAATTTAATAATTTAATGATATAATTTAATTACATAATAATAATGTAAAAAATAATTTAGATAATTTAATTAATTAAAAAATAGTTAAAATAATTATTGATAATAGAGTGATAGTATGTGAAAACCCCTACCTGTCCTCTATGTTGTAATATTTGTAACCCTTCAAATAATTCTACACTCGCCAAAGAAGTGTGATCGGTTAATAATGTTGCTAATATTCCACACATAATTATAATATTTTATTACTTTTGTATTCTTATATTTTTATAATTAAATTTTAATTCTAAATATAATATATTAATCGATAATAAATTTTTTTTAAAAAAAAAAAAAAAATTTTTTAATCTATATTTATAGATAAATAGTAGTTTAATTACAAATAGTTCTAAGTAATGAAACGGTATGTTGTAGTAATGGTATATTATTGGAGTATTTTTAGTATTTCTGATCTGATCGATTATCGAGGAAAAAAAAAATCTTTTTTTAATGTAACGTACTACGTTTGATTGCAATAACACTATATTTATTCACATTTTAATGAAGGACTTTAATGAAGGACATTTTTAACATTTTACTTATGACTTTCTTATGATACATATAATACATACATATTAATTATAATGAACCCTAATTAAAAGTAGTTTAGGTTAATTACCTAATACAGTTTATAAAATAAAGTTTCACATTAATGCGTAACTTATTTTATATTATTATTAATTAATAATTCTTCCATTATTATAATTCTTCTATTATTAATGTAAAAAAAGTACCAGGACGATTGGTTCTGTAGTAGTCACTTCTTAAATATCTTCTACTACCAACCATTTGTCTTTCTATGATCTATTAAAATAAAATAATAATAATTGATTAAAATAATGTAATTATAATTTTTTATTTTTATATTGCTATAATGTAATAACAACTTCGCATTCGACTATGATAAAAACATCACCAATATTATAAATGATTGTGATTTTTTTTTATTTCTGTAAAATTCTTTCTATCTTCCTACATATAGAGAAATAAACTAGATGAGAAATATTTCAATATTTAACAATAAGTATAATCAAACAAAAAATATAAAATAAGATGGTAGATGAAAGGATGCATCAATAAATAAGTTTTCTAATTCCTCCTCCAAAATTAGTATTAAAAACTTATATTAATAGATTCTGATTGTAATCACAAAAATATATTCATTTCAAAGAAAAAAGAGAGAAAATATATGTAGTGGAAATAATGTAATTATATTATTTTCACTTAGTCCACTTCATGTAGTGCTCTGAATGGGTCAAGTTGACCTGGTGTTAAGGGCAAAAATCCACTCAGTTCCCTTTGCTCCTTACATTGGTTCTTTTAAGGAGTTTAATATGCTATGTCCTAAGACACATGGTAGTTTGGTATGCTTCTTTAATGATAGAAGACACCAGTCTGTTTTTAGTTAGAACGAACAAACTATTTGTTGTTGTGATGTGACCATTTGAACTTCACTATTCTTTCAGTGAGAGGTGTTGACTCACTATGCAGGTTTATTTTTTTCTCTAAATTTGTTCTGAGGTTTATTCTCCAATATATTATTTTACTATTTAGTACACAGGGTTTACATCTTTTGCTTGACTTATAACTAATATATTTATTTTTTTTTTTGGTTTGCAAGACTTACATTTTTGGCTCATTTTATGACAGACAGTTTAAATTGTATAGGGCTTAATTCTTTTGACTATATTAATAATCTTTTATATTTGTGACCACAAGCCAGTTTCCTTTTACTTAGTTTACACTTCAATATTTTTTTATTACACTTCAATACAGTCAACCCTCTATAAATGCACCTTTCGGGAAATTAGCAATAGGGTGCATTTATAAAGGGGTACATTTATAAAAAATTTCATAAAAAAAATTTTTCATGTTAGATTAATTAGATATTTTATATTTATATCACATTTATTTAATTATTATTACATAATTAAACAATTTTTAATTTGAAAAAAATTCATCTAAACTAAATTATCATGACTATACATGTTCCCAAAATTGATTTTGGATTTTTGAGGTATTTTGACTTTTTGAGATTTATGCAGAATCTATTCTATATATGGAAGTAAAAAAGTATCCAGTTATATGTATATTCAATCAAAGAATAAATCTGAATGGTCAAAAAATTTCAAGTTTTAAGTAAAATAATTTCATCTTCTATAAAAAACTATTTTAATTTTTTTTCTTAAAATTGCAATTTTGGAGCTTCAAAATAATTTTGTATGTAAGTATTTCTTAAACTGTAAATTTAAGTAGGCAAATTTGCCTGCTTAAATAATTGAAAAAAATTATTCCCTGCAAAAAATTTTTTTTATAAAAGGAATAACTCAAATTGACTAGGGTAATTTTCAGAAGTGTAAATCACATGATAACTCTATAGCTAAATCATGATATTTACTATGTAGCTCAAAAAAAGTATACAAATTTAAGTCATGTAAAATTTGCTACATTTCGATCATGAAGTATTCCGAATGATCAAACTTATAAAAATTCTTGACAATTTGATTTTATATACTTCATATCGTAACAAACAAAAATTACTATATAGTATAAGAACTTATTCATAATAAAATTTTGAGTTATTTTAATAGTTAGGTTGATTAATACTGGTCAAATTGTGGAAAATCAGCACCTATCATATACTTATCAGGTACCTGATAGGTATGTGATAGGTACCTGATTTTCAATAAATTTTAATATATCAGACTTCCGATAGGTAAAGTGAGTATATTGAAGTTTGAACACATATCGGATACATATTGACAGATATCGGACACATATCGAACTTCGATTTTTTGACATTTTTTTCAAATATATCATATACTTATCGGGTACCTGATTTTATTTATTTTTTATCAGGTACATATCTTCAATATATTGGTATAGTATATCGGATATATATAGGTCACTGTATATTCCTCAATATCAGGAGTTTTTTTCTTACTATCGGATACCTATTGATGACTTTTATTTATATATTTTCATTTTCTTATTACCGATAATCACATTTTTGTTTATTATTATAAAATATAAAGGAAATATATTATTTATTAATAAAAAATATAAAATGAAAAACGTTATACATATTATATATTGTTAATTATACTATTTATACTATATAAAATGTTTTTAATGTTCACGTTTAAATCTATCAATTATTTTTTTTATTTTTTTTAGATTTTTTATTTTTTCTTTCTTTTTCTTTTCTTCTTCCTTTTCTTTTTCTTTTTCTACTACTAGTTTCTGCTTCATCATTATCATTATTATCATCATCATTATCGCTGTCATTATCGTCATTATTATTGTTATCATCATCTTGATCTGAGGTATCGGGATCATAAATTGGGATGGTTTTCTTATCCCACTTTATTATTTTCAATGCTTCTTTATTTAGAGTCCAAATAGGCACACCTTTTGGAACTTTTGTTTCATTCTTGCTCAGTATATGTTGTGGAGATCTAATTTGAAGCTTGGGATTTTTTGGCGGCTTACAAAAGATCAATCGTTAGATCGATTCTTTTGCGCAATAGCTTCTTTAACTATAAAATATTATTTGATATATATATCATCTATTAATATTATACTCGATAGGTATAAAAATATACTATAATTATTGATCTTACCGAATCGGATCTCCACCATTTGTCCTTAATATAAATAGAAATTGTAGGTGTTCGGATACTTCTGCTTCTACTTGCTGTAGTAGCAGCTGTGGTGCTACTTCTACTTGCTGTAGTACTACTTCTACTTCTAATATTACTACTACTGTTATCATTATCATCATCATTATTATTGTTATTATAATCG